CATAGTAGAATATTCAATACATAATTGATTTGCATTGATGTCATTACAGTTTGTACATTAGTAAATACAAGAAGAAAATGAAAACCAACAGAAAATTGAAAAAGCAAAACTATCAACTTGGACACTTTGCGCAGAATGTAACTAAAACCTTTGTTAGGATAACGCGACTAGATCTAGTCTATATCTATACATAATTTTCCAAAATATTTCTTTTCGTTTGATATTTTTGTTATAATACTTTTATTTGCAATTAAAACAGGTAGGCTACATCAAATCAATTTTTTGTCGTAATTTCGAACTATTAAAGCGAAAGGCTTTGCAAATGTAGATAATAAATATTTACATGATATCATGTATGTGTTTTTTAAAAAATTGAAAGGGATAACAGTAAAAGGGGTGAAGATCAAATGAAAGTGTCAGGACTGCAGGTGGGGAGTGGAAAGGAAATTGTTCAAAGAGAAGGGGGGGGGGTTCAAAGTGACAGTGAAACATTTTCTATGTAGGGAAACAAAATGTTAACCAGTTGAAAGAGTGTTTATTTATATACGGGTCGCATTGAGTTTTCAAAGGTTGCTGTGTGAAAAATGAGGGGAGAGAAGCAAGATTTAGAACTTTAAGTAAGTAAATGAATAGATATTCGAGATTGATGTTGGGGTGGGTGGTGGGGTCGTTGGAACAATTATGGGGGATGTGGGGTTATCATGTCTGAGGGTGAAGTGGGCAGTAGGGGAGGGGGTGGATGTGTCTGAAGAGGCGTGGAGAGGGTGACTGTATGTGTTTAAGGCAAGCCAAGCGTCAAAGCCTGTTCTGTGTGATGTTCTTGCTGAGGTGATACTATTTATAGTGTGTGTGATTCAATTATCCACTTATAATCCCAAAAAAGCAAAGACTTAACCCTGATTTTTTTTTTAAATTTGTCTTTAATAAATGTTATTTTACCTTTTAAAACTATAGGCTTTAACTTTTTTATTTAAGAAAAAATTCTTTTTGTTTTAAAGTATAAAAATTGTTATACTATAAAATATCATTATATTTAGTTAATTTCATTAAAAATTATTTTAATTACAATTTTTTGCACGTTTCTTTGAGTATAATCTTTAAAATGTATATTTTTAAGGACTTTAAAGTATATTGTTGTGTAGTCTCCCCTGGTAATTTAAAATGTACAAATCGAAATCATTTTAAAAGTAAACATTTTTTTTTTTTTAACTTTCAACTTTGGCGTCAACTCGCAGCATCTAGGTTGTTGGCTGGTACAAAAAAAAACGTATTTATGTATTTGTATATCATCAATACATTTAAAATAAATTGCTTAAAAACACGTGGAAGAACAGCTATAGATATGTTTGAAAATGAAGAATGTTTGATTTTAAGTGTTTGATTGTACTGAAAATATTCCGGCTTCTGTAGTATTTAGAATGTTTTTTTTTTATCCCAAATTTCTTTCATCTACACGTAAAAGCCCAAACCCCCATAAAACAACCATGGCAATAAAAACAACCCATTGAATCACCATTTAATTACACATTTGCATTCTCACGTTTAAAAACAAAATTGTAATTAGGCGTTTTGAATTATGTAAACCATCTGAAATGAATGAGAGTAAGAAGGAAGTATTATGAATGTTAATCTGTATCAGTCCTCACAAGCCGTTGATGAAAACTGTAATACTAAAGCGAACATGACAAGGCAAACTGACAATGTAAAATAAAATAAAATAATAATAATAATAAAAAAATAAAAACAAACATGTATTGACATTTTCTGACAATGTAACATTGAAAAAGAAAAAAAAAATACCCTTCTATCATTAAATCACCCTTTATTTACACTTTTGTATTTGAATTTAATATCAATTTTAAAATAAGTAAATGCTGAGATTACTAAACAATCTGTCACTGTTAAAACCATGCTAGAAGATTTGGGTGTGGATGAGGATGAAGATGAACCTGTTCCACTACCTAATGTTAATGCTGCTATATTAAAGAAGGTAATTTAATGGTGTACCTTCCATCGGGATGACCCTCCACCATCTGAAAATGATGAAAACAAAGAAAAAAGAACAGATGATGTTTGCTCCTGGGATGCATAATTTCTTAAAGTTGACCAGGGCACCTTGTTTGAGTTGATTTTGACTGCCAACTACTTAGATATCAAAGGCTTGCTTGATGTAATAAACTATTAGCACTAGAAAGTTTGTTACATTTTAAATATTATTTTGTTACAATAATAATAAATAAAATGTACAAGGATTTACACAATCGCTTTACTACAACTGGGGTATTGATTTTATTTAATTTTGATATAATAGTTCAAAATTGTTTCCCATATGTATTTAAAAAAATTTAAATGGGAAGTAACTAATTAAAAAAAAAAGATTTAACTCTATCCAGTTACAGCAGTGCCGTAGTACAACTCATGCTAATACTATATGTACATGCTGTACATTATAATATTATTACAACATGATTAAAGAAAAGCAAAGTGTGATATTTACAAAATAAGAACTATTCATAAGAAAAGGGTTGAGCATTGAAAGAGTATGTATTTGTTTCAAATTATTGATGTAAAACATAATTGGTATATGTTTTTATTTTTATTATTTTTTTATAACTTTAACTAATTACTGAACTTTCTAACTGTCGATTTTACTCTTCAAATAGTGGAAGTTAACTAATTTCATTTTAAATTAGCTAGATTTTGTTAATCTTGAAGCTACTCAGTTAATGTTTAATAACTTTTATTTTTATTTTAGTATGAAACGTATGTGACTGTTGTGTTAAAATCATAAACATAAAACTGCATGTTAATATCAAAATATTAATAGTTTGTCCATAGTAAAAATTATTTACAAAATGTTGACCATCCCATATTAATTAAGTATCTGGCTTATGAAAATTATAGTCTGCCTGAAAAGAGAGATAATGTAGTGAGTACGCATTTTGCGTGTGTAAAAAAAATGTGTGTCTAGTCACTAGGAGTTAGATATACGGGTAAGTCGTCGGGGTACTTGCACGTAATTTAAAAATATGTGACTTTGCCTATAGGGATAAAAATAGTAATTATTATATTTATATTTATAAAACACATCGTCCCTATAATTAGGTCAAAATATTACAGTATGGTCACAATATTTCCTGTTTATTGAACAACACTGATCCTAAAAGAATAATACCATTTCATCATTCACATGTGCTCTGAAAATACAAACTCATCATTAAGTCAATACCTCTGTGCCTGTCTGTAAGCCGTGTCTAAACTTTATAATTATCCTGTAGTCCCGAGGATAAATAACACATTATACAGCACAATATACAGGCTATACACTGAGGTAAGAACGTACCTTAAATCTAACACAAACCGTTAAGTAAGCCAACTTTGTCCCTGGTTTAATTCTAACAGAAATAGTAAAACACTAATCCTAACATTCAACCTTCTCACATTACCATTATTACTGACCCTTTAACTCTAACGATAAATTACGAAACAACAAAGCAATTTAACCAAAACCAACTCTAATCCCATATTTAACTTAACAACAACGTTGTTCTTTAATCCCCGCTCAGGATCTAAACGGTGACCAATCGCATTAGTGATTACGCCACAGACCTCCACATTTCCTATTTGATCTATGCATGAGATCTCTAAGTCATCTGTCATTTCTGGCCCATGGGTCAGTATCTGGATGTCTGCATATATTTGTATTAGTGCACAGATACAAACATCTTAATTTACATGATATAACACAATATATAAACCCATTCATTAAGAAAATGTACGCGAGACTTAACACTAAATCACGTATATACACCATTAAAAAAATTCATGTACACTTTGTATCCTCTTTAAATTTTGCATTCGGTTTCACCGAATAGTGACGTTGTTTATCTATTGTCGGTTAGTAATACAGCTGGATCTAGCATTGTTTTTTTTTCTATATTTAGCATGTGTCATCGCCCATCCCCTTGTAGAAATTATTAATTTATATTTAAAATCGTTTTTTTTTTTACTCTTATTAACCACTAATTTAAGTGAACACAATTATGTTTACTCTTATATTGTGCAATTATTTATCTTGGTGTCACCCCCACCCCCCCCCCCCCCCGTTATCGGTGCTACCCGGTGCGATCCACACACCCGTCCCCCGCCTCACGACGCCTCTAGTTAATTGTTTATTACCATTAACTTAACTACCCTACTGTTAAGTAAATTTAAATACGGATGTAAAAATATGGCCAGCATTTTTATGCTTGGTCAACGTTTTCTAACGAGTTGTTATCGGTAAGGAATAACTTCATTGTAGATTTAATTATCGTTACAGCGCGGGTTGGAAGTGGAGATAAGCTCCCACTTCACGGTAAAGATAAGCTCCCACTTCACGGTGGGGATAAGCTCCCACTTCACGGTGGGGATAAGCTCCAACTTTACGGTGGGGATAAGCTCCCACTTTACGGTGAGAATAAGCTCCCACTTCACGTTGGGGATAAGCTCCCACTTCTCAAACAATGCCCCTAACATCTCACGTCACTAAAAGCTTCTGACAACCAGATCCATCTCCTGACCTTCACACTTGGCCCAGTCTCTGAGCCTGACGAAAAAACCGTAGTAAACTAACAATACAGAAGGGGGGGGGGGGGGGGTGGAGTAATATAATGATGATTGTAGTTGATTAAATGATTTCTCCAATATAGTAATGTTATGGTTACGGTATTGTTTTAGCGTCAGACGAAGGCAGTCTAATAAAAACAACTCAGGTAGTATGGACATGTACCACGAACTAACCGTCTAACGAAAACCTTCTTGAGGGACTTGTAACAGGAGAGAGGATGCGAGGAAGACATTGACGTATTTGGTTGGAGGACTTCAAGGAGTTGACTCGGCTGGCATTTACAGAATTGTTTTTTAAATCATCCGAAAACTGAAAAATATGGTAGGAAAAAAAAAGTAGAAATCTTTTTTTTTTTTTAGTTTTACATGAATTTTATTAAAAAAGAGTACCTTTAAAAATTCCTAGTTATGTTGCCATGTCGTTTAGCGAGTCTAATCAATGAATCATCAGATTCACCCATTCGTCTGATTGCCCCACAGATAGCATAGGTCTTGTAAGATCCAGTCATACGGCCTGTAGTCTCATCAACCTCTGTAATGTTGATCTGGATAGAAGCATGATCCTTGGCACCAATGATGCGGTTACTAGCAGAGAATTTGCGAGGAATCAACAGATTCACGAATTCTCCTGCGTCATTTCGCATGATGATAAAACCTTTTTAAAGATCGCTTGGTGTAGAGCGGAAGCCGAAAAGGGAGAAAAGGAAACACTATGTGCGCATGTGCGAGAAAGACCTCAAGTTGAATATGAGATTTATTTTATTTTTAAGAGTGACCCACGTTTCTTGGTCGTCTTTTGTGGGATTGCTGGTACCATAAATTCTGAATTTGTCTGTTATTGTGATGTATATGTGATAATCATCTTCACCTTTCCATTTACCTATACCAAATACTTTTGATTTGTCTGCGTTTATTTTTCCCCGGCTTCCTTTCCCAAAGCTGTTGAATTTTTCTATAACCGCCTGTATTGCTTTTTTCTGTTTGTACTAAGAAAGTAGTGTCGTCTGCGTATGCAAATATGTTCTTGCCTACCGCGTTTAGAATGCACATTCCTTTAATCGAGTTGTCCTGTCTAATGTTTTCTAGTAGGGGTTCTAAGCTAAGGATGTATATTAGAGGAGATAAAGGACAACCTTGTCTAACTGATTTCTGTATGTGAAATGCGCTTGTAACACTTTGTTTATTAATAAATGATTATGTGCATTGTTATATATATTATTTTTATCCATGTTTTAAAATAGTGTCCTAGGTTGTAAGCATCTATTGTTTTTATTAACCATGTATGATCTACTATGTCGAACGCTTTCTGTTGGTCGATGCTAAGAACCGCTAGTTGTGTGTCTTTCTGCGTGCTATAATGTATGATGTCTCTGGTTAAGTGCGTGTGGTTGTGTATGTTTCTACCTGGTACGCTATACTGTTGATCGGGGTGTATTAATTTAGATATGAAAGGTTCGAGTTTCTTAACTAAAGTTTTTGTCAATATTTTATAATCACTGTTGAGTAAAGATATAAGTATGTAATTTATAATGTGTGTCCTGTCTGTAATACTTTTAGGAATGATTGTTACATATGTCCTGTTAAAATCTGTAGCACAATCCTCTCTTTTATGTATGTCTTGCCTTGCTGTGTAATTAAGATGATGAGAAAACTTTGATTAGCTACACCGTAAAATGTATAGTATTGTTTCATTTTAATTTTCCCGTGACTAATGCTTACGTATCTAATAAACTTAGTGTTTTTTTTTTTTTACTTTAACTAAAAAAAGCTTATATTTGTTTATTGGAAAATATTAAACTGTAGAAGTATTTCATGGAAAAGTAGCTTTTTAAAAAATAAATAATTTAAATTAAAAAAAAATGTGGACGAATGTCTGTATAGCAAATGAAACTAAAGGTATTTACATAAGTGTGTGACCTCCCATGGTAATTTAAAATTGAAAAGCAACTAATACACGTGTTTAAAGTTGAAAAAAAAGAATATGTAAAAAAATCTCATGAGAGACCAACATTTTTATGAAAGAAAGCAAATTAATTATTTTTTTGGTTTGATTTTAATGAAAGATAAAATTGTACAAATTGGATTTGTGTCATATGTGATGTTAGACCCTAGCACACAGCGATGATTTAAACAAATAATTACTAGTAATTTAATTGTAATTTAATAAACATTGTATATTTAATTAATTAATCATTAATTAATTCAAGACGGCTTTTCATCAGCTTATATTTTTCTAATAATGTGAAACTGATTGTAATCGATGGTTAACAAACAGCTATACGTTTTTTGCTAACCTAGCTATAATTATATCGCTTGCCATATTTTAAAAATCTAGTATCATTACATACACTTTTCAAGCCTTTTAAAAATCTTTATATAAATCTTAAAGAAACATGTCAAAATCCATTATGCATTACAGTATTTTTGTATGATATAACAGTTCGTTTGGTAGTAGGCGCCTATATTGCATCAATATCTAGGAAAATATTTGGTTAAAAGTGTCACCTGTTACGAAACATATCATCAATACTCCTGGGGGTCGGAGTGGTCGGGCTGGTAATGCTCATGACTGCTTCACCGACAAGTCCCTAGTTTAAACCGCTAAGTAGATGAGTCTCGATAGCTGGAGACAGCAACCCATCTAGGACAGAAAACATCAACGTCAAACAGCTACGGCTTTGTAGTTTGTTCTTGAATGGACACATTTTCTGAGAGGAAATCCAGAAATAAAAGTTGTAGAAAGGGAAGTTTTAGCGGCTGGACATAGTGCTGTAACCAACGATAGAGAAAGTAAAAGCCGCTATACATAGTGCTGTGCTACATATACCAAAGTCTCAGACACCGACTGACTCTACTTCATTCGCACATTCAGAATCGAAAAAGGAACTTTACTGTCCCAAAGCATCGCTATAAGACATTTGTTGCGACACACACTATACATACTGCATGTATGTTCGTGTGTGTACGTGTGTTTGTGTCTAGCAATTAGTAGTATGGTTAGGCTGGCTTGGTTCGTGCGAGCAGGGGTCGGCAACCTTTTGAGATGGAAGAGCCAAACGTTACAATCTACAAAATTTCCCAGACTATAAAGAGCCACTTACATTTATATTCGCACTTCGGTAGTGGAAAGCTTGGAACCATTGCCACGGGTCTGGCCACAGCATAGTTGTGGGGCTGGGCATAATGCCTAATGCCCTAGGCTGTCAACTATCCATGTACACTCGACTCCACCTATTATCATTGTTTTTAATTTTGTTTAAAGTTTTTGTTTTTTTACAGTATATTTTTTTTTAGTTTCTATAATAAAAGAATATACTTATAGAAATCCGCATGTTGACATCAAAAGAACCGAATGCAACTCGCGAGCCGCAGGTTACGACCCTTGCGTGCGAGTAAATTCATTAACACAAGAAATCTTGTATACATATTTTGAAGCACACCAATGATAGTTCAGTTCTATTCATCAAACATAGAGAATTCATTTTATTAAAGACAAGTTATCTTAAATAATTACAAGTTTCGTAATTTAATTAGGAATATATTTTTTTCTATTAAAATCAATAAACTTTTAAAGACAGGCAAAAGTAATACATAAAGTTTATTAATACTTATAGAAAAGAAAACAAAATCAACTAGGATTTACATAATTATTATATTTCCACTGAGGCATCGGTATTTTTGTAAATTTGATAACTTAATTTTACGTTGTTTCCCTTACTTTCAATTAAACTATGATATGGAAAGTAACAAAAAGAAACCCAGATAATACAGATCCATCAAGTTGCAACATTGCTGTGTTGTAGAGAAGAATTAAAATTTATGTTTACGAGAAAAGGGCGGTGCATTGTAGGAAAGGTTAATTTATTTTACTACATTGAAAGTACACCTACTTTCCTAAAATAAAGAAGCTACATATTTGAAACTATATGCTTTTTCCAACTTGTCAAAACATAGTAATCATACTAATTAAATGTACAATATGTAAACAATTTCTTTATCTTAATAATTATGCGGAGGATATATTACAGTATGATCACAATATATTCAAGTCTATAAAACAACGCCGATAAAAACAGAAGATTAGCGTTTCATCTCTTACATTCTGCCGTAAAAATCTTAACTTATAATTAGGTCACTGCCTCTTTGCCTGTCCGAAAGTCTTGTCTTAACATTATAATTACCATATAGTCCCGATGACATATAAAACATTCATCTATACAGGGTATACACTAAGCTAAGTACGTTACATACATCAAACACTAACTACAAGGTAAACCAAACGTGTCTCTAGTTTAAACGTTTAACCCTAACATCAAACGTAAAACACGAATCCTAGCATTTTGCATTCTCACATAAATAGTATTACTTACTTTAACATCAAAGTTAAATAACGAATGCAACCAAGCGCTAAAACCAAAACCAACACTAAGCCTAGTTTTAACTTAACTCTTAACTCTGTTCTGTAGGCCTCTCTAAACATTACATCATGTTTTTGTAGAAACCTATAATGAACTATGTAAGAAATAGAAATGTTTTTTAATTTAAAACAATCCAATTTAAAATCGAAATACCTTAGCATAATATTACTTGTCTTCCCCTTGTAATGTTTGTTTAAAATGCGATTGGCCGGGCTCAGAGACTGGGCCACACGTGTAGGTCAAGAGCTGGATCTGGTTGTCAGAAGTTTTTAGTGACGTTGGATGCTGGGGGCATTTAGTTGGAGCTAATCCTCACTGTGAAATGGAAGCGTATCCCCACTTTGAAGTGGAAGCGTATTACCCTAGTGAATTTAGAGCTTATTCCCAACGTTAAGTGAGAGCTTATTCTCACCTTGAAGAATTAGCTTATATTTACATTGAAGTTGGAGCTTATTTCAGCCGTGAATTTGGAGCTTATACTCACCATAAAGTGGGAGCTTATCTCCACCTTGGAGTGGGAGCTAATCTCCACTTCCAACCCGCGCTGTAACGATAATTAAATATACAATTAAGTTACCGATAATAACTCGTTAAAAAAATGTTAACAAAGCATAAAAGTGCAGACACGATTAATATGTCACTATTTGAATTTACTTAACAGTAGCTAGTTACGTTAATGGTAGCAAACTTTTAACTAGAGGCATAGCGGGGTTGCTGAACTGGTAACAACGATAATTGCAAAATATATTAAGATTAAAATTAATTATTTCCTGTTAAATTAATGGTTAATTACAAATTAAAAATCCCTACTAGGGGGAGAGGGGATTATATATGTTAAATATAGAAAAAGCAGCTATATTAATAACCGACAATAGATACACCTCGTCAATATTAACTGTGAACACTTTAAAGCTATCACCAAGGGTTGGGGGTGAAACCAAATGTTAAATTTAAAGAGAAAAAAAAAGTGTAGTTGAATGTTTTTAAAGGAGTATGTACGTTCGTTATCTTCAGGAATGCGTTTAATTATTGTGTAAGTTCATGTAAATTAAGATGTTTGCATCTTAGCAATAATAAAATGTATTCAGACAGCGAGAGACTGATCCAGTAGCGATGAATGAAAGATGACTTAGAGATCTCATGCACAGATCAAATAGGAAATGTAGAGGTCCGTAGAATAATCACTAATGCGATTGGTTCCTGTTAAGAACCTGGATGCAGTTGCCTCTTA